ACACTTTATACTGGAGTAATGATGCTGAAAATTCAGCTTTGCATCACAGAAATAAATTACACTTTAAAAAATATGAAAATAGAAAACAGTTATTTGAAAATGTACTATTTCATAATATTACAGTTTTTACTGTATTTTTATTCCAAATAATTTATCAAATAAATGTATATAACAATCAAATAAATGTATAAATATAAAAATATTAATTTGTATTATCGTTTACTTACGTAATGTTTAAAAATATAACATCATTATAAAGTGCTACCTTATTAAAACAGAATTTCATTGCAGTTCATATGATATGGACATGAGTACATATTAAAAAATTAATCTGGTTCTCATTCAATAAGAAACAAAAGTTTCAGAATTCACTCTTTTAATGTATATTTTTATTTTTGAATAATGCAACATTAATAGCCTTTAATAATTAGTCAAACTTTACAATATAATGTAAAAAAGAAAGAAAAATGAATATTAAAACTGATATATGAAATACTATAAAAGCAATTTTATACTAAATAGTTGTTTAATAGATTAACCACAACTACAGACCTAACTTTTATTTCTTCTTGTCCTCTATTCATATTATATATATTTTTTAACAAAATCACTTATTACTACTTATCAAAAAATTCCATCAAAATCCTTAATTTGTGTAATTGCAGTCCCGACAAATTGAATCCTCACCCTCGTCTAATGGTGTAGTGCTCATATGTCTGAACTCTTCCTCAAGGCAGGCCAGAGCCAGGCAATCCTCCTCATCCTCATCAGAGTCCTGGAGATCGAGCTGCTCCACGCTCTGGACCTCCATGATCTCCTCAGCAGCACGAGACAGCGGCCGACGAGTCCCGGCACTCAGGGGCCGTGAAGAGATGGGAGAACATCTGCTTACGGTGCCTAAAAAATAATAATAAGAGCTGAATGAGATTATGAGAGCTGCTAAATAACACACCCTCTGACTTGAGGAATCATTCATGTCAGCATGAGTTACACATCAAAGTTGAATAATTATGGTTAGTGGTTTGTACGGATCTCTAACGCCAAGTATGAGCAACAGTAATAGTGACGGTTGCCTACAGTTATACTACTAATAACTGTGACTAAAGAGAAATAGAGAGATGATGGGAAAGACAAAGAGAGAGATGTTAAAGCAACTGTCGGAAAAGCACACACAGAAAGACAGCGCTGGGATTGACGGCTTAAGTTAGCGGGGTCAGTATTATTTACTGTCACACGCTGACCTAATCAGCTTCTATGCTCTCTGATCCAGCAAATCACAATAACACACTCACACACTTCTCTCTCCTCCATGTGACTTTTTTCATTATATTCCCTAGCTTCTTCTTGTCTTGTGTGATCTTTCTGTTGCTGATAGTGAAGTGAACGCCTCTATGTTCACTGAGCAGCGCTCAGCTAACATTACAGTAGTGGTGATTCACACTTTTGACTCAGTTCAGTTTAGTGACTCATTCTGTAGGTTACATCATTACACCAGTCAATAAGATGGGGAGTCGATCAAATCCTTTACTCATCAGATTCCTTCAAAAACAGTGTTTAAGTATCATACGCATATTCTTCATGAATCATATCAGCAGATATACTATTTTGTCAACTTGTGGGATTTATCAAGCAATAAAAAGACATCTATAGGTGAAATAAATGGATTACTAGTCATGTATTAAGGTGATATAACTCAACTGTTCAAAAGTTTGGGTTGTGTAAAATTTTTGAGAGAAGTCTCTTATGCTCACCAAGACTGCATATTTGATTAAAAATACAGTAAAAACAATTATATTGTAAAATATTATTGCAATTTAAAATAACTGGTTTCTATATTTAATCATTTTTAAAAATATAATTTATTCCTCTGATGCAAAGCTGAATTTTCAGCATGCTGATTTGCTGCTCAAGAAACATGTTTTTATTATTATTATTATCATTGTTGAAAATGGCTGAATATTCTAGTATTTCTTTCAGGATTCTTTGATTAACAGCCTTTATTGGAAATAGAAACATTTTGTAACATTATAAAACTCTTTACTGTCACTTTTGATCAATTTAATGCATCCTTGCACAAAATTATTATTTCATATATTTGAACAGTACTGCAGAAGCTAATCAGAATGATTCATTGACTGAAAAAGACATATTTAAAAACCGAGTAGTGAAATGCCCAGGTGACATAGCAGGAGAGATCATGTATTAGCTGATATCGCTTCCCACGATTTGGGCTCGGGAGGCCGACGGCTTTGAGTATCCTCTGATGCAAAAGGCTCAATCTAGCGTGTCGAACCTGACACAAGTATATGAGATATACAGAGAATGAACGGGAGAGAGAGAGAGAGAAAGAAAAAAGCAGGCAAGAGAGGATGGACGGATATCTGACGCTTTGATTTGCACCAGCCGAAATCATAGCTGTCATGCTGTTAACCAGATTATTTTTCCCTCCTCTGCAGACCTGCATGTGATGAGCCGAGAGACAGAGGGGAAGACGTGTCGAGAGGAAGAGAAAGCACGAGCTAGCTAGCTGAGCTGAGCCGAGAGATTGAGGAGCGCGCCGTTGGCCATGTTCCCTGCACAAACACAGTAATCGCTTTATGAAACCTCAGCCACGTGTGCTGGCGCAGAAAGCTCAGGAATCAGCTCGGCTTTAATTACGCGCGTGAGCCAATAAATCACGCCGCGGCCGAGCGTAGGCACGACTCTTCTACAGCCATGTTATTGATGTCCCGTTGGCCTTAACGCCGTGTCCGAAGGGTTGGCCGAGGCTCTCTGTAAATGATCCTTTAGTCACGGCAAAGATGCGACATCAGACCGGCTCAACAGTTTAAACAAAGATTTAGCCGTACAAGTCTGGATTAAGTCTGAACACAGAAGGGAAATTAAGAAGAGAGATGAAGGTTTTATTTTACTCAGAATGTTTTCTAAGGGCCCTGATTTGGGAAATACGATTGATAGCTTCAATTAAAGAGAAAGTTCATCTCAAACACTTAAAATTCTGTAGATTAATAGATTAAACTCATAATTCTTGCTCTTAAATCTCATATACAAATATCATTTTGGATTTCACTTTTTCAAACTTTGGGGTCAATACGTTTTTGTTTTTTAAATAAATTAATTTATTCAGCAAGGATGAATGCACTGATCAAAAGTAACAGTAAAGACATTTATAATGTTGCAAAAGATTTCTATTTTTCAAATGCTGTTTTTTTTTTACTTTCTGTTCATTAAAGAATCCTGAAAAAACACTATTAATCAGCACAACTATTTTGAACATTGATAATAAGAAGAAATGTTTCTTGAGCAGCACATCAGCATATTAGAATGATTTCTGAAGATCATGTGACACTGAAGACTGGAGTAATGATGCTGAAAATTCAGCTTAATCAGTTCACAGAAATAAATTACATTTTAAAATGAAGAGTTCATTTGCAAAAACCGATAACTCCATTTTTATTTTTTATTTTCAGAAATCACGTTTTTTTTTATTGCGTATTCCAAGTAATATCAATCAAACTGCAGTTGGGTTGTTTTGATTAAGTAATAATAACTTAAACAAATACAGGTAATTTATAAAATTAAAGTTAATTGAAAGTATGTTTTTTTTTTTACATATTAAAAGTTTGTTTTATAGCAAAAGCAGATAACTCCAACAGTTGTGTTTTGGCAAAAGCTCCACATTTCATGTTTTAGTTTAAAAAAACACTCATTTAATCTTTGCAATCTCATCAGATGACAATGTAGATGCCTGACAAACGTTGTTGTCATTGTGATCATAAACCGTCTGTATGGATGTGATTACACGCAATACACGGAGCTTTTCCCTCACTATTGTAACGCGCTGCTTTTGCAAGGTTCCGTGAAAACGTTTCAGCTTTTATTTTCCTTTTTCGCCCTGAAGAAGATATCACAGGTTCATCAAGTTCGTCGAAATGATCCATCCTCGATCACTTTTAGTCAGCTTTGATGAAACTCCTCTCAGCTAGCTAGCACGTCTTTTCAAAGTAAAAGTAGCCTTGTCAACTGACCTGAATACAGCGCGCTGATTCGCTAAAATGGACTTATCGGCTTCTGTTCAAAAACAACAAGGGCGCTTGTCGGCTTCTGCAGTAAAACGTGAACTCGCGATGCCTTGAAGGCACGACAAAACGTGTTTAGGGTTCAGAACGTGCTATATGTGGAGAATAATGCACGGCAATCAGCTCATTTTTCAGTGGCGTTTATCGGTTTTTGCAAATGAACTCTTCAAATATATTAAGATAGAAAACAGCTATTTTGAGTTGTAATAATATTTCACAATATCGATCAATATTTGATCAAATAAATGCAGCCTTGGTGAGCATAAGATACTTCTTTCAAATAGATTTTTAAAAAATCACATTTCTGAATGGTGGTGTATGTCCTATCCCATGTTTTCCAGAATTTCTCTGAGCATTTTGTTTTCAAAATGTTTATTTTTGGCCCTTTTTTGATAGACAGCCTCAGAGGAGGCATAAAATGATGAGAAACAAGATTTGACACAACATGTCAACAGGAAAGATATTTTCAATGTTTTCTTTTCTGAAAGACTGATATACCAGTATGACAAATGCAACAGAAAGAAGTTATATTCTTCACAGCCTTTTTTTCATTCACATCAAATTAAATCTGGTGTTGTACCAGAAATGAAAGCAAATTACCTGAGAAACACAGCCTGTGTGATGGCACTCTGCTACGGCCTGGTGTGAGGGGACAAGGGGTGCTACTGATGGGCTGAGCATTCATCAGCGCAGCGACCAGCTCTTCCTCTGCGTGATGCTGAAGACTGCTGCTGGATCTCCAGGACTCCTGCCCTACAACTACAAATAAAACAAACAATGAGAACCCCACACAGCAAGTCAACCATCATCATGTGGTCTTGAAGATAATCCACTATCAGAGCTAACATACAGTTTACTGAAGAAGGTCCATAAGTTATTGTACATCACAGCTCTACATATCAACACTAAACATGTAAACTGTCTAAAAGCACCCCAGTAGATGCAGACTTAGATTAAAGGTACTCAACTTCAGAAGGCAAGAAGACCACATTCAAACAAACACAAAAGTTGCAAACGTTTTTTTGTGCCAGTAAATGTAAGTTTGTCCTTATTTTCAAAAACCTACAAACAGCATTCGTGTGAACACAATGCACCAGCTATTTGACCTCTGCATCCACTTCTCTTCATCACCATCAAGCAAGGCTAAGGTAAGAATTACACTTCTAATATTTTTTTCATGATAAATAGTTAACTTCAACAATACCAGCTGATATTGCACTGCATGCAACATTAAAAATATGCTGCCTCATTTTCATGCAACTTTTGGATGCTAAAAGAAAAAGTAAGGAAATATATTATATTCAAAGAAAATTAAACCTACTGTATATTTTGGTTCATTAAGTTCATGCATTGTTATATCATTTTCATGACATTTATTACATTTTTCTCCAAAATTGTCATTTTCAATACAGCAATTTTTTACATTACAATGTTAATGTTAATTTTCAATGTTATTTTATCAGTTTCTATTTTCTATTTTTATTTACATTTTAATGTAAGTTCAAGTTTTAGTGATTTTGTTGTGTTATATTTATTAATTAGTGCTGACAAACGATTAATCGCGATTAATCTCATCCCAAATAAAATATTTTGTTTACATAATATATGAGTGTGTACTGTGTATATTTATTATGTATATATAAATACAAACACATGCATGTATATATTTAAAAAAATATGTTATGTTTATGTATTAAATATATTTATATATAATATAAAATATAATAATATAAATATATAAATGTATATACATACAATTATATTTTAAAATATTAAAATATAAAAAATATATATACTGAATCTGTGTGTATTTATATATACATAATAAATAAACAGTACACATACATATATTATGGAAACAAAAACTTTTATTTTGGATGCGATTAATCGTGATTAATCGTTTGACAGCACTAATATTAATACATAAAAATATATAAAAATTACAAAACACAACAAAATTACTAAAACTTTAATACACACACACACACACACACGTTTACACAGTTTTTCTTAATTTTTTTTATTTATATATATTATTTTTTTATTTTAGTTATTTTAGTACAGGTTAAACTAAAAATGTAACTAATTTATTTTATTTCAAGCAGTGATTTTTTTATGGTTTTAATTTCAGTTTTAGTTTTTTGTTAACTATAATAACCCTGATTACAGTAATAAGAATTTTGTGGGACAATGTGCTTAATTTTCATTAGAAATTGTGACAGTGCAAATTATCTTAATGTTAATGCAAATAGGCTTTGTTTTCTTTAAGCAAAATATAATTTCTTATTTATTTCTTTTGATTTTGGTGTGAAATGTGACCCAGGCATGTTCTTGACAGGTTTTAGATACTCACTATTATCATAAGTCACTTGCAGTACACTCTTTACAGGGACTGATCTAACCTGGGGTTAAGTGACTTTCTCAAGAACACAATAGCATTTCATGGCTCACTCATTTTGGGCTTCAAACCAGCAACTGGTAACAAACTCCAAACTTTAGCTGGAAAACCACATGCGCCTGCGACAGCCTGACTTGACATGCAGACAGTGAGCGGTTGAAGGTTAAACATGTGTGCCTTCCATCGCCATCTTAAACGCCTGCTGTTATTAAGGCTTTTTCCAATCGACTGGCCGCTGCTCCTGTCAGTGCATGTCAGGGATTGCAAATGCACAGACAGGCCGATAAAAACGGCTCGACTGTGACAGAGACAAAAAAAGACGGGAAAAGGAAAAGACTGCAGGAAAATGATGGAGAGACTCACCAGCCAATAAAAACAGAGATGACAGAGACAGAACTGAAACCGGGACTTATTTGTCCTCTGTTTTCATTAACCTTGAAGCCCAACGAACCAAACAGATGCTTAATTTTTTATGGTATATTAGATAAAAAGTGCCTTTTGCATATTTAGTTTCTGCATATTCAAATAACGGCTTTAAATAGAGCTGTTTAAAAATAAATATTAGTGTTTACAGTCAAGCTAATGGCCTCGCCAAGGTAGCACATTAACACTGTGGAGCTAAAGGATAATGCCAGGAAATGAATTAATGTATAAGAGAGACATCATTTACACTCATCTTTAAGCTAGCAGCTCTCTTCAATGGCCAATCCATCTAAGTATGCAATAATTAGGTATCTAAATAATACGGGCGGCACAAAATGCACTATTAAGAGAGATGTCTGTGGTTTTCATTAAAGCGCGGTCATATATTAGTGTTGGAACCACATAAGCGCTGCATTCCAAATGTCTTATCTCTATTATTAAAGTATAAAGGATGTTTTTGTGTTGGGAAAGATGTAAATAGCGCACAGCGGATGTGTTAACTAACACCTAGTATTGCATTTGCAGTAAGTAAGGTTTTAGAGGCATGACTTGTGAGGAGCGTGTACACCACTGTTCAAAAGTTGTTGTTTTTTTTTAATAAATAATTTTATTCAGCAGGGATGCATTAAAATTATCAAACATTTATAAATGTTACAAAAGATTTTTATTCCAAATAAATGCTGTTTTCTGTTCATCAAAGAACAAAACTATCTCACAAAAATATTAAGCATTAAGCAGCACAACTGTTTTCAATATCGATAATAACAATAAATGTTTCTTGAGCAGCAAATCAGCATAGTATAAATGATCTTTGAAAGATCATGTGACACTGAAGACTGGAGTAATGCTGCTGAAAATTCAGCTTTGCATCAAGGAATAAATTACATCTTAAAATATATTCAAATAGACCATAGTTATTTTAAATTGTAAAAATATTTCACAATATTGCTATTTTTTTTATACAATAAATACCGCCTTGGTGAGCATAAGAGACTCCTTTTATAAACATTGAAAAATCTTACCAACCACAAACCTTTGAACAGTAGTGCATATGTTCTTAAAATGGTATCTGAGGGTTCAGACTTTGTTGATTTTGAGAGTTTCCACAGCAAAATTCATAGTGAAATTGTTAACCTCTGGTCTGTGTCAGATCATGTGGATCTTAACTCAACAGAGCTCTGTCATTTCTAGTAAAATTCATATTAAGCATACTTGTGCTTGCTTGTGTGAAAAGGAGATAATCTGCTGTGAGGTCAGTTCTTACACTACAATGTGCTGTTTTACTGTAACACTTGAATATTATGAACATTACTGTGGTGTAGACAATGTTTCATGTCTCTATGAATGTCATTAAGGCATCTTGACCCAACAGTCTCAGGTGTACTACGCACGAAAATGTCAGGAGCTTCCTCAAAATGGCAGGCTCCAAGCTGATTGACTGATTTTATAGAATTTTTACTTGTTTTACCTTGCTGTATATTGCCCTCTAATCCTCAGCAATATATGGCTTTGTTTTGCCAGAACTTTATTTTGCTTCTCTACATACCTAGTGAACTCCCTGTGTGGTTCTGCTCTTCTCTAGAGTTTTGCACTGGAGCTGGGCTGGGCTGCAGGACTCCAGGGTCCAGTCCCAAAGTCAGGATCCCCTCTAGGTCTTGGTACTGCCCCGGCTGGATGTCCTGTCGCTGGGCTACAGAATGAATGGCCTGTGCAAGAGAAGAAAAATAGTTAGAAACAACATCAGTCAATGACATGGCACGAATGTCATAAAAAAAAAATGCACGAATTACATAAAAATGCAATTTATACAGACAATGACGAATACTTTTCTTAAATGTTGAATAAGTTTCAATTTCTGCATTAAGATTCATTTAACATTGCTGTCAGGCTTAAAGCTAAAAAATGGCTGGATGGTAATTGTCGTGAGATCATGATAAATAATAAATAACTAAGAAACATTTTTATCAAAAGGCTAAAATTGTAATGATCTGCTATCATTCACATTTATCTTGGTGCCATATACGCTAACCTTCAAAAGTTTAAGGTCAGAAAGACGTTTTAATGTTTTTGGAAGAAGTCTTTTATTTTCACCAAGACTGCAGTTTTAGTATTTGCAGTAGACTGAAGTTTGAGTAATTTTTCTTTCTTTTTAACATTATATTTGTAAGTTTTACTAATTATTAAGGGCTATTAATATTGCATTACGCAAAATATATATTAAAAGAGCTAATTCTGAAACTGCTGTTTGTTACTGAATAAGAAGCAAATTAATTATTTTATATATATCTACTCATATAATATATCCATGTCATATGGTGTCATGCAATGAAATTCTATTTTATTACAGTAACACTTTCACCATGCAACACACTCGCCAAGGCTGCATTTAAAACAAAATACCGTAAAATCAGTAATATTGTCAAATATTATTACACTTTAAAACAACTGCTTTCTATTTGAATATGAATTTATTTATGCGATGAAAAGCTGAATTTTCAGCATCATTACTCCATTCTTCAGTGTTATGTGATTCTTTAGAAATCATTCTAATTTGCTGTATGGTATTTGTGCACAATAAACTTTTCATATTATTATCAATGCTGAAAACAGTTGTGCTGCTTAATATACCAGGATATCTTTTTCAGGATTCTTTAATGGAGACATATTATGCCACCGTTTTACAATATGTAATATAAGTCTCTGGTGTCCCCAGAATGTGTCTGTGAAATTTCAGCTCAAGATACTCCACAGATCATTTATTATATCATCACAGCATGTGAGTACTAAACTAAGTTCTCATTCACACACAGGTTTACGTTAAAAACACACATGAGTTACAAAAAACAGTCGGTTATGTCTGTGAAGGTAAACAACTGGGAAATAAATCACGTTTATTTTAGATCAGTGTGGCAGCAGCAATATACAGTACATAAATCAATAAATCCACTTCTCTCTTGTCTCCTCTGAGGCTGGGACTATAAATCCCAGTTTTTCAACTTTTCAAGTGCCAACACAGGCGTCAGCCAATCAGATCGCCTTATGCAAATACCCTGGTGCAGACGCTAGCCAATCGCGTTCATGCAACACCAGAAAACTAATGTGATTGGCCGACGCCCCGTGTGAATGTACCATTATAATAAGATTCCTTTGCCACGTCACCAAGGGAGCAAAATCAGACACGCTCGTTTTTGCAGAAAAAGGCTTACCAAAACGAAGTTACTGGGTTAGTCTTTTTCACGTTTCCTTGGTTAGTAGATGCACTGGGGACCTGATTATAGCACTTAAAACCTGGAAAAGTCAGATTTTCATGGTATGTCACCTTTAATGAACAGAAAGTTCAAAAGAACAGCATTTATTTTCAATTTTGTAACAACGTAAACATTTTTACTGTCAACTTTGATCAGTTTAATGCATCCTGGCTAAATAAAAGTATTCATTTCATTTAAAGGAATAAAACTAGTGCTCTCTACCTGTTTATGGTCATCTTTTGCTCACTTTTGGACATTTAAGCACACATTTTTTCTCTCTCTCTCTCTCTTACGCAGGTTAAATTAGGCCAAATTTAATTTGTCAATTTCAGATGGAGCACATAGACAGACAGAAATCTTTTTAAAGGGGTCATATGACGTTGCTAAAAAGAACATTATTTTGTGTATTTGGTGTATTGCAATATTTTTATGCGGTTTAAGGTTCAAAAAGCATTTACTGTCTTTTTAGGTGTGGCATTGCGTATCGCGCTGCGTAAACATAAAACCATGTCTGCATTTGTGATCAGATAAAAACAACAAACAACAAGCCTACTCTACACTGCTCAAATCTCGCGTTTGAATCATCATTGGCAAATTATTCACCAAGAGCTTGTAACACTCCAAAGAGAAAGGAAAAATTGAAATCGCATCATATGACCCCTTTAAAAGAAAAAAAATCATATTTTTAAACTGAAATGAAATGAGAAACAATTATGATTTGATTGAGTCCCAGTCGGTGTCCTTTAAATGGAAAATGAGGTAGGGGAAAAGAATCAGCGGGTGGTAATTAAGGACACAAATTTTCTGATCGCCAGACAAAAGAGCAGAGATAAGGCCGCTTTCTGATCAGACATTTAATTTCAGGTGTTTATTAATATAATTCATTTTCTTTTCTCTCTTTCTGTTACGCCATTAAACTCTGATAGTCCATTTGCGGCCGACTTGACAGCTCTGTTTCCTCTTGCCCCTCATCAGCTGAGTAGTCTTTGCCTTTTCCTGCCATTACCTCTAACACAGCATGAAATCTGCAATTAAATCACATAGGAGTAATATCCAATTGATCAAGTCTTTAGTATATGATAGTTTCCAGCAAGGCCATTCAGTATGAATAAAGAATTAATTTCATTGTTCTCATACTCTGTTTTTTATATAATATTTCCAGCAGAGAGTCTGTGAAAGCCCATGTTTTTCACTATATCAGTGGCTGCATTTCCATCTTCATAAAATCTATAGACTAACAAAAGTTTGTGAACAGATAGATTTTTTAAAAATAAATTAATACTTTTACTCAGCAAGGATGCATTAAATGGATCAAAGGTGACTGTAAAGACATTTATAATGTTAAAAAAGATTTCTATTTCAAATAAATGTGGCTCTTTTGATCTTTCTATTCATCAAATAATCCTGAAAAAGAATGTATCATGGTTTCCACAAAAAAAAAATATAAATATGGAGATATTTCAACATTGATAATAATAAGGAATATTTTTGACAAGCAAATCAGCATTTATATAATACTATTTCACAGTTTTTACTGTATTTTTGATTAAATTAAGGCGGACTTGGTGAGTATAAGAGACTTATTTTAAAAAATATTTAAAAAACAAACTTGTTATTGTGTATGTGTATTAACTGGTCTAATAGTGGGTTATGGGTAACCTGATACAAGTAACTGAGGTTGAAGATTCTAAAGGTCTCTGATCACCTTAGAAGATCCTGTAAAAAGGTCTGGTTCTGTGTTGTCGTTTTCTGACTTTGAGAGGTTTGTGAAAGTGAAATGAGGCTCTGCCGGAGGGGTCGTGGTGGGGCACGGAGAGGGAAAGCCATTCTTTTGTTCTTCTGCATCTGTGATTCGTCTCAGTTCTTCATCAGATGAGTCTTCTTCACTGGGCACCAGGCAAGCATCTTCACCTGTCATTTCCTCTTCTGAATCTGAGCAGTGACAAATAGTGCGAGAGGAGAAACACTGAGGACAGGAGGAGAGAAAACATCGAGGCAGAGAGGAGACGGCCGGCAGTGAGGATGCAAACGCACGCCCTTATCTAACGCTCGCAGCGAGCCGCCTGGACATGGTCTAGCAGAGCTTGTGTGTTTCTCTTCCCTGCTTCCCGTCTGCTGCCTCCTGCATTAATAATGCTGATCCTACACAGCTTGAAGTTTCCATCACTCTGCTAGTCAGCAAATACTGCAGAAGCAACCGCTGTGTGAATGAAGGCTGATGTCTACACTGGTGTTTTCTCATCATCTTTACTCTCTGATGCAGATGTGCTGGACCCCAAGGGATGGTGGAAATCAGGTTTTTGTCATTTAGGAGGTGTTTTTTAATGTTTATCAAACAGCTCTTTGGAATACTTGATTTGGATTGGTCAATCATGCATTCGACTGTCAAATATTTTTGTACAAAGATGATAAACTGTATAATTGTCCTACACATCTTATATCCTTCATAGCACTGCACTTGTTTCATGTCTCTGTTGTCACTCCTTGTCCTCTTTATTCTCAAATAATACAAATATTTAAGCTCAAATTTATAATTCATGTCATACTTATCATATATATTACACTGCTACTTTACTTATCATATATTATATATATGTATATATATTCTAGCAAATATTATTATAATATTAATATTTTGTATAGACAAAAAGTTTGTCTTGAACTTTTTATTATCTAGCTATTACATTTTAAATTATTCTCAAAATGAATTATTTCTTTTTTGTACATTGGTGTCTTTTACCATATCAATAAACCAGTGTTACAGTGTTTTTCCCTTGATTAAATGTTAAAGGCTTTACATTTAGCTGAAAAATACCCCTCAAACATGGTAAAAACACTGTAATGCACAGCTTTGAGTGGTATATTGGTTTTAAAAATATTTAAACTGCTATTAATTACATAGGAAACAGTCTTCATCACTCGCAAACACTTTCGAAGGATAATTATAAACACAGTGGCTCAAGCACATCATGGATTGCAATTAGATACAGCTAACTAACATTTTCAATGTTCAGACAGCTTCAATTCAAATTTACCAACAGAAATCATACTAACCTGACATGTTTAGCTGTAAAGAGAACATTGTGGTTTTGGGCGACCTCCGTGAGCCTTTTAACCATTTAGAGGCCGGAGGTGAACGATGACCCTCAGTATGAGAAGATTCGACCCTTGGCATAGAGGAACTGAAGGAGTCATAGATAGGCATAGTAGATATACTTCTATCTGAGACGAATCCAGACTGTGATGATTCTCTAAGTGACAGCTTTAATGAAGGAACTGCAGCGCTTGGGGAAGTGATGGCACGTTCTGGAGACAGCTGAGCTAATTTCGGTTCAGAAACAGGTGTTGAATGAGCAGGTCTGGATTGGACTGGGTTTACTGGAGAAGAAACTGATCTAGACCTTGGGGACGGAGAATCTGGAGGTTTTGGACTTTGTTTAGAGATGAGAAAAGCAGGAGAATGACATCGAGAAGACCGAACAGATGGTATTCCACCAGGAGAGAGGCTGCCAGTGGAAATATGGTCCTCAAAGCCTGGGAGAGTTTGATTTAATTTGGTTTTTGGGAGTGAAGGAGATGATGTTGGCAGAAGCTCTGAGGATTTGTCCTGTTGTGCTGCAGAAGATCTTGTCTGTGGGCTTGGTTTTGGAGAGTCACTGAGTTCCACTTTCTGGCCTCCTGTTCGTGAATTTGACAGAAAGGATTCTGAGGCAGTCGACAGGTGCTGTGATCTCTGAAGCCTCGTCTGAAGTGGAGAAAAGCTTTCTGATCTTGGCAATGATGACGAAGATTGTTCAGCCTCTTGAGACGGCGGCCACATCTCAGGAGAAGAGTTGATCTTTATGTCAGAATTACATTCACCGATGGATGCTTTAGTCATCTCGTAGAAGCACGGTGTGAAAGGCAAAACCGAATATCCAAAATCTCCTCCATTTCCAACAGCTGCAAACCTTAAGGAAGAAAACAGACATGCATATATAACATCTAACAACTTACACCCACAGTTAACAGCCTTATTTTAAGTCTAGTTGTGGCTGATATAAATGTAAATGTCAAGATGACACTGTATTTTTGTCAGTTCTGACTTGAGAAAAACACAGCTACTTCAATTATATTGTTGTTTCAAGACTGTGAACTTTTCTGTCGCTTCCTTTCAAAAAGTCTCGGGTTTTCGCCTTGATCTTGTCGTTCTTACATTTTGCTCTCATTTCCCTGCTTGACTCCAAAGGATCTGTACATTGTAGCGTCTTCAACCATCTGGAAAAATTAAAGTGACAAAAAAATTAAACAAAACAAACAATGACAGAAGAAATTGGAGAAGACAGAATGATAAGTGCAAGGAAACATCACTGAGGAGTCATTCGCTGGCTATCGCCCAGTAGTCCATTACAGAAACTAGGGTGGTGGGGTTCAGAATTACCTCATCTAACTCTACGACGCTTAAACAGGATTCTGCAGGGCTGTCTGCTTTCCCAGCATCCTCAGCAGGAGCGATCGTGAAGAGAGATGTAAAGTATGTATGCAGCTCCATCCGCTCTGCTGCAAATCAGAGATGCAGTAAAACAGATTTATGTTAAGAGTTAAACTGAAATTAAATCAGCTCAATGATCAGTATGAACGTATTTATACATAATACAGAGTGACAGATCTCTACATTTATATTTCAGTCCATGCCCTGTGTATTTTTTCAAGACATTAAATCAAAATTTTTGCCTATTTATTTTCTGAATAAATACCCCATCTGTGCATAATTCATTCATGCATATCACTTAAAGAAAAAAAATGTTTTCATAATATTTCAAAATACACTACTGTTTAAAGATTTGGTGTCAGTAAGATTTGAATACTTTTAACAAAAGTAAAGAGATTTTTTTTAAATAAATGCAATACTTTTTTATATTTATTACATTTTTAAAAAAATCTTTTGAACTTTCTACTCATCAAAGAAGCCTGAAAAAAAAAATCACTGTTTTTCAGTTACTGTTTTTACTATATTTTTGACCAAATAAATGCAGCCTTGGTGATCTTAAGACTTTTGAATGGTGGAGTATAACAAATTTTCCAACTTTGAAATAATGTGGGGTTTTTTCTGATAAAGTAAACAAGGCTGTGGACATCGGGGGAAAAATAACAGAAACAATTATTTAATGATCTTACTAAATTCTTGCCGCATATTCTTTTCAGCATAAAAAATTATTTCAACTTAAAAACTTTCAGGGCTGCGTTTCTCGATCTTAGCGCTTAAGAGCATTTTCTACGAGTCATTTTTATGAACGTATGTTATTGTTTCACGTGCGTTTCCCAAAATGCACAACACAATCGCACGTAGCCCTGCTTTAAGTGCTACTTAGGAGTCGCTATCCGTTTGTCAAGTCCTGAAATGTCAATTTATAGAATGGCTCGTAACTGTAGTACACGCTCGTTTATTGAAATGTTAACCTAATGCTGCGTTCCAGACAGCTCAGATATAATATAATATAATTAGGGCTGCCCCCTAATAGTCGACTAATCGTTAATCGACCAGAAGAGGATTCGATCAAAACATTTTTAGTCGCAGAAAAAAAAAATCCACATTGGCAAAGTCACGCAAATCGTTAACGGCTGATGGTAATACAGTACATCCGGCAGGACATCCAAACGCTCGCCTATCAATCATCCACCACAAATATGGCTTATCATCTGAAATATGTAATTATTAGCAACTTTACATGGCCGCTCAATCTAATGTTAACCTAGAGAAATGTCCGCTATTCAAGTGTCTGTGTGGAAGCTGAACATTAGCGCTCACTGCAGGACAGATGGGAGGCGCCTTTAAGTGCTACTTAGGAGTCGCTATCCGTTTGTCAAGTGCTGAAATGTCACCTTATAGAATGGCTCGTAATTGTGGTAAATGCTCGTTTATTGAAATGTTAACCTAATGCTGCGTTCCAGACAACTCGAATATAATAACAATTATATTATATTATATTATATTATATTATATTATATTATATTATATTAATTTATACGTATAATATTGTACATTACATCATAATATACAATATACAAAAATATATTATAGTATATAATATCTATATAGATACGTTATTTCCGGGTCCAATACATTGGTTTTCGTGCACGTCAGTAAGTCATTGACAGATCGGAAAGGAAATCTGGCGATTGTCCTGCAGGTGTCTTCTTACGATGCACTTAGGGCTTTACGATTACTCCAGAGCACTCGTAGATATACGATGATTTATTCAAATGAACCAATTCAAATGGAAAACAAATATTCTCAGATTATGTAATCCGTGTGAAACATGCACACAGGCGCGTCACTACTGCGGAGATGACGAGTCGGTGTCGCCGAGTTAATCTCTTAAACCAAAACAAAGAAAGCACTTGTTTATCAGTGAATTATTCAAATGTTAATGCAGCCTCCTTACCGTTTTTCCCTGACACATACATAATCATAGTTTCTGCCGGTGTAGTGCCGAAATTTGCACCCTGCCAGATTATGCACCCCCTAGTATTGGTAGGTTTAGGAGTAGGTGTGGGGGAGGGGTTAGGGGTTAGGGTGCATAATCTGGCAGAGGTGCAGAATTCGGCACAACACCGGTGCGCTGTGGCAATACTTAAGTTACGATGCTTTTGGGAAACAGACCGTAATATTAAGATAAAAAAAATGTCACATTACAAAAGTGAAATGATTTGTGAATGTTGTGTCATGTTTTTAAATGCAGGCTGAATCAATAAAAGCTGTTGACTGACTGAACAGGTAATGACCAAACAGCAGAATCCAAATCAGACGAACCACCAGAAAGACGGCTTTGCATTCGAAAAAGTGACTGAAAAGTGTTTTGGGCGTGAGCACCATGGAGACGGGCTTTAGAAAAGATGCGACAGGCTCGGGCTGGTGCCGATGAAGAGAGACGGCGCTCATCATGGGGCTGTTTGGGAAAAGCTAAAGGTGGTCAGTTCTTTGACAGCTGTGATCAACCGGCCTCCCAGCAGCACCTAGAAACTTCTCTCAATCAGCTGTCGGAGTGCTCTGTCAGACCATCGCCATCCCTCCAGTGTAATAAGAGCTCTGTGATTACCCTTCAGGGACGCAGTGATGGATCCGAGCTGCCGGCTGAGAGAGGAAAGCTGTCCTCTGCAGTGACTCTTACAGCTCATTTCTCCAACTTTTTGGAGAGAGTGTACTTGTACGGGTCTATGTGAATCGCAGCATGTACATGACCGGTCACCCACTATTCCTTATCATCCTTTGTCCAAGTTTCCAGTGACAAAAATATATATAAAAATGTTTTGAAATATCAATCCTATTTTGAGGGAGAGTTCACATTTACTAACTGATGACGGTAGCCATTGACTTGGCTAGCCATTGACTACCATCAACTGTTTGGTTACTAAAACTCTTCAAAATATCTTCTTTTGTGCTCAACAGAATAAATAATCTCATACAGGTTTGCAACAACTTGAGGGTGAGTAAATGATGACAGAATTTTCACTTTTGAGGGAACTAACCCTTTAAATGCTAGCAAGAAAAAAATGGGGAAATATGAGCAAAAAAGGCTGTGGAAAATAAAATTGCACTGTTTATCCTTGTGATCTTTCATTTAAAAAAAAATCAATAAAAATCTAACCTTTCAATTGAATTTAAACAATTGAAAGTGGGGTAAAAACTAATTATGAAATAAAACTTTTTGTCTAATAAAATGTGGCCACAATTATTAGCACCCCTAGAAATTTGTATGACTATAATATCTCTGAAGTATATTCCCATTCATATTTACATTTTCTAGTCCTTTTATTTACCAAGGGGGTAATAATTCTGACCACAACTGTATATATAGATATCATTTCATCATTTATTTTTCTATATAAAAAATAAATATGGTCAATTGGGATTTTATGTTTAAAATTGTGTGACATGAATGTCTATTATCAGTTTACGGTTTAATTGCATATGTGTGTGATGAAACGGGTCGCACCTGTCAGTTTTCGGCTCAGTTCATCCATCACTGCAGGTGGAGGTGTGGGTGGCTCCGGCCGGCGTTGGACGACAGACCGGGCCTGAAATTCTTCAATTTGTCCTCTGAGGGAGAGAAAATAACGCTGTTCCCAGTAAATCACACTCAGATATATGAGGATAATTAATCAGGCTCCCTTTCCTCAACAGTGCAACTATAAATAAACAACATTTCAGCACAGCACAGCACTTTAGTAATAGCTTTATCCTCTGAAAAATATTTCCCCAGTAGGAAAAAATAACATTAACCAATAATGTAATAGCCTGACATGTCTCACTTCTTTTCAGCTCTTTTTCTAATCAATTCCTGATGTATGAAATCAAATCCTGCCCTACATTATTTTAAGGATGTGTACAACTACACAAACAAACGGCTAGTTGGTGGGCTGTCTGAGTGAGTACTCTAGTCAATGTTAATGAAGATCTGTAAAATTAGGCCACTTTTTGGATCAAGTTCTTCAAATACAACTGAGTTTCTTAGCGATATATTGACGTTAAGAATAGGGTAGCTGAGTAACATACCATGATTTATGAATGTGACAAATATGTAATACTTTTCTTAATATGAGCGACTTAAGACTGGTTTTGTGCTCCAGGGTCACATATTGTTCTTGTTTTCTAGTATAAATATCCTTGAAACAAAACAAATTTACTCTAAGAAGCCAAATGAGATCTTAAGGTCTAAAAGTTTTGAGGTTTATGCTGAAAGCAAGAAAAACCTGTTTGCCATAGTTTGTTTATATATGAATACTTAAATATTTATAGCAAAAAACCTAGATGTTCTTGCAACATATATAACTGTGATAATAGTAAAACTAATATGTTTAAAGAAGTCTCTTTAAAAATATTTTATTACATTTTAAAATGTAATTTATTCCTGTGATGCAAAGATGAATTTTCAGCATCATTAATCCAGTCTTCAGTGTCACATGATCCTTCAGACATCATTCTGATATGCTGATTGGCTTCTCAAGAAGTTGTTCTGCTTAATATTTTTATGGAAATCATGATACATTTTTTCAGGGTTATTTATAAAGAACAGCATTTGCTTGAAACAGAAATATTTTATAACATTATATATGTATTTATCATCCTTGCTTAATAAAAATATTTATTTCTTTAAAAATACTGACCCCAAACTTATGTCATATTATTAAAGTTAAATGTAAATGCTATTTCAACAGAGCATACAAAGAGTGTACTATTCCCTCTTCGGTGCATACAAGGAAAGCGACATAATTTCAATCCAATAACAAATGAAAGCGGCTGTAGGAAGTTGATGACCCAGACTTCCCACTCAAGAGTAAATCTCAGCTCAGCCAGATTCCCCTGACCCACAGGTTTAGTCCTTTAAACCTTTTCCTGGTGATTTACCATACAAACGCATTAGCAGAAAAGCCATCAACCCTCTGTCTTTCCCTGAACACAAGTCTCTTTCTCTTTTATTCGTTGTGCTCTCGTCTCTCTTTCTGAAGTCAACTCTTGCTGCCTCAGCAGGACAACCTGCTTTCCTCATTGTGTGTGCGTGTGTGTGTGTCTGTGAGTGTATGAAGGGATTAGACACCCCTATCACACACTCCATTCCTCCAGAGTGTGAGCTGCAGCCCTGGGCCACGCGTCTGCCCTCCTCCCACAGAACCCAAACACACACACGCACATGCTGCAAAATTCCAGCTTCCTGTTCCGTGATTCTTCAGACACCTGGCCTCAAAAGAAGGCAATTTGACGGATTCACAATTAGACCCTTCTTGAATAGCCGACCTAAATACCATTGCTGCCACAGATACCATAACGCTCAAGAAGCCTGCGATGCGGTTCAAAGCGCTTAGGAGGTTTACAGATACTGTGTTTTGCTTGCTTTTGTCAGGCTTTCTCATTTCGTAGGCGAGCATCGTAATCTTTTGGGGGGCAGAACAACCATTTCAATGGCTCTGTTTCAAAACTTAGTGTGCTGCCTACATAGGTGGCTGTCTTCAAAGGCAGCACCCTAACTGAAACAGAACCTTCTTAATGACTGATCTAGAATGTATTGCACAGTGTTATTTTAGCATTGTTTATTTACTACTACAGTCTTTATTAATGCTTCAGCTTTTATTTTTTCAGTTTTCATTTTCATTTTGGTTATTTTGTTATTTATTTGTTTTTGTTTCTTAGCTTTAATTTATTCTTAAGTTTCAGTTTTAGTAATTGTATTATTTTAACATCAAATTATTTCAGTGGCCAATTTCTATTTTTTAGGTTTGGATTTATCATCTAATATTTATATTTTATTTTATTTCTGTATAATTTGAATATCTTCAATTACGTTTCTCTCACTTCATCGATTTTGGATCATTTTTTAATTGAGGTTATCGCAATGCATTCTGGGATTGTATTCTCTAAAAGAGTGCATTAGTGTCTGCCCACTTTTTCAGTGCCTTTGTAAGTACTTTTTCCATTAATTTCTCCCATAGGGATTTTAAAAATGTCTTCATTAAAGCATTATAAGTCATGAACCACAACAAACAGTTACAAGGTGAATCACAACATTACAAACTTTGATTGAAGCAAAACTGTATTTGAAAATTGGACAAAAAAGGTACAAAGGTACAAAAACTACAATCCCATGAAACACTGAATGACATAATAAAAATTAAAAACAATGGTGAAATATAAAACTATTCATTTATTGTTAATTATATCTAAAGAAACAATATATTTTAAGTTTATTAAAAAATATGCATACATATATATAAATACAAATATTTAAGTATTCTGAGAGTGTAGGCAGACCAACTCAATCACATCATTTGCAATGCTTCATGGGAGTGGGCGGACCTAAACAGTGTTTTGCTGCAATTAACTGGCTGCAACTACTGCCCGCAACTCTCTCTAATTGGTGGAATTTTCTGTACAGCATCATGGGTGATGTAGTTTTTTTTAACCGCAAATTCCGTTTTTAAACACAATTATTTAAAAAAATGAGTTGAACAGATGTCTTCAGTAAAAGCACATATGATCAATTAACAACCTCAGAGCTCACAACAGCTTTGCCTTTAAAGGTTTATAAGTTATCATTAAAAATCAATTTCCCTATGAAGAAAATACATTTATTTTTTACTTCTGGATCCCGGCTGTTGCACTCTATGCTGCCTTAGAATACCGAAATAAGGCATCTTGGAAGGCAGCATGTTGCTGCCTACAATTTGGAACAGGCTTCATGTTAGAAGTGTGCCTATGATGCCTTAAAATGGTCCCTAACTAGGCAGCCCACTAGGTTTGAGTGCCAGTGTGTTTGTTTAAAGAAGATTTCAGAAAGTTAAAGCAATACCACGAGACTGCTTTGGGGCTGATTAGCTCAGTAAATTCAAGTGACTCTGCGGGGGCACAACTTAAAGGTGAGGCTGTGTAATTAGCAGCCATAAGTCATTAATTGATCTTAAATGGACCTTAATTGGGGCCTGGGAAGGTAAATGAAGCTTGTAATGCTCTTATTCAACGTGTGTCTGTTCGGTTATAAAGTGCGAGGTGTCAAGCGCTAACCTGCGGTGTTTTTTCAGGAGGAGTTTCTCCATGTAGCTCAAAGTGTCCTCCTTGAACTCCACATGAATTAACTGCTGGGATCCTTTCTCTGTTTGTGTTTCCATCACAGACACTAGAGAGAAAGTGAAACCAATCAAGTCTTCAGTCCAAACGATGCGTGTACAGAACAGGAAAATAGCCCTATTTACCTGCAGTGTATATGCAGCCTAGCAGTCGATCAGACACTTATAAACCGATTTCTTATCAGCTTCAAGCAAACCACTAAAGAATTTATATTAAACACAGACTCGTGAGACTAAATGAGAGAAATAAGCTGTCTGGTTCAGAATTCAAGCAGTACTATAGACATAATTCCGTCTTTGTTTTGAGAGTTATTTTGCTGTATTGTGAGAATATAAAGGGCGGTTAGACTTCAGTGCATTTGAAACCCCCTTAACACAGCAGTCATTATCACAGTGAGCACAAGCCAAGCAGCACTGCAGCGGGCGAGACTCCTGCTAGCCAAGTACAGAAAGGGAAGTGAGAGAGAGAGAGAGGAACAAACACAAGGAGTCTGACACATGATAAGGACTAACTTTAGTTTGCTGCAGTGTGATCTGACCATTCCATTGTAAGAACAGCTGTCCTATTCTGCTTTAAACCCCAACGATACATTAAAGATATGTTTGGAACAACAGGATAGCATACTACTCTTACTATAGCTGCGGTATATAATATGTAGATTGTGAATGTTATGTAACTACGTAAATAAGTAATGACTGTATATGAAGTACCTTATATTAACTTGTACATTTGGCACATTTAAATTTGTGTGTGTGTGTGTGTGTGTGTGTGTGTGTGTGTGTGTGTGTGTGTGTGTGTGTGTGTGAGCACAAAG